CCACAGCAGCGAGAGGCCCGCGTACCGCAAAAAAAAAAAATAAAAATAAATAAGAAGCTGTGAGGGTACATAACTCTCCACTCCTTAAGCACATAGCAATGTCCTGCCAGCGAGGGGAGAGGAGAGAAACTGACAAACACACCACAGGCAGGTTATCAAGGACGACATGGATAGTGACAATCATGGTGACAGCTCATCCCCTTGATATGCTGTGATGAACACGGCACTTGGCTGTGGTCTCCCTCCCCAATAACACACAATCCCAGGGTCTTATCATGAGAAGAACACCCAACCAATCCTGGTAGAGAAGCATCCTACAATATGCCTGACCAGTATGCCTCAAAACCTTCAAAGTCATCAAAAACAGGGAAAGTCTGAGGAAGCTCCAGTTGAGAGGAGTTTAAAGAGACACACCTAAGTATGTGATATCCTGGGACAGAAAAAGGACACTGGGTAAAAACTAAGGAAATCTGGAAGAACTATGGACTTTAGTTAGAGAGAGAATGAAAGCAATCACTTTGCTTGCACTAAAACTTGTAATATTTCACTGGACCCAAAAGGCTTTGTACCTTTATTGAATAAAATTTGGAAAAAAGATTTCATCTTTCTTATGCTTCCCAAATTTCCATTTATGATAGTACATGCATACAGCTTTTAAATGCCTCTCTATAGAGGGCGCAAATTTAAAAGGTTTTACTCTTGGAGGTTGCTGCTCTAATCAGCAATAGCCACCAACTCCAGCATTTTACGTTCAATCAGACCTGGGTTAAGTTGGCCTGAGAACTCCTCGAGATTCCTCAAGAAGTCATGCCCCATCCATTTCAAGGACTCTAGAAAAACGTTTTTTATTTGGTTAGGTCCTGTCCCCTTCCCTGGATACCTGGGCCACTCCCTGAGGAAAAGCACAGCAGCCTGTGATTGTGAAGGGCCTGCTAGACCCAGTGCCCACAGAGGGCAGGAGAGACACCCTTTCCCCTTATTCATTCTAGGTAACAAGGCAAGGCACCGACTCTGTTCTACAAGGGCCACTTCACCCTTTGTCCCAGAAAAGTACTGCACGTCCCAGACTTTGGCTCTGTGCTGAGGAACATGTGAGCTGGTGGCCGTTTCAGCTGTGAAATAGGAGGCAGGGGGCGGGTGCCACAGGGCCTTCTGGTTCCTTCCATCAATCTTGCCCCGTGTCCACTTCTAACAAGTCATGTCAGACCGTGCGTTCCTTTGGAGGGGACCCTGGGGCCTGTCCAAATTAACTTAGAGAATCATCACGTCCCAGTGTGTCTCCTAAATCAGAGAATCAGCGTCATGGCAACTGAAACCAGAGATTACTAGGACACCTGGGCTGGCTCAGACCTTGACTGCCAGGTTCCGATTTGTAACTGAGAGCAGAGGAGGAGGTCGGATGACCTCATGCCAAAGTCCGCGGGGAGCTGCCGGCAGGCACCGCAGGCTGCCAGCAAGGTGGGCAGGGCCACATTCCCCAGAGGGCAAGGCTGAGTCACCGGCAGAAACTAGGGGATAAGCAAGTTTCTCTCAGGACCCTGTGCGGGGAAGGTGCCGCCAGGGAGCAGAGTGGAGCTGGTCTAGGTGAGGCCTGCCCTGCAGTCCCTGCCTTACATACATTTCCTTTCAAAATTAAAAAACTTACATCTGCATATAGCATCTATAGATCTACAGATCCAGAGATAGAGCTCTCCATCAATCCAGGGTGAGGGCGACAGGTGAACCTCATCGCCAGGATGTTCGGATCTACCCTCAGCTCCCTTTGTACTGACCCCATTGGGGTAAAGGAACCCACTGCTATTTCACCAGTCCCAGGCATTTCCGAGGCCCACCACTGACAGCGGTGTAGGTAATGGACACCAGTCCTAAGAGTTGGCCAGTTGGATGAGTCCTGGTTGACAGGCGCCACTTATGAGGCGACTCCTGGGCCCACTGTCTCCCAGGGCCGACATACACGGAGCAAGGGGATGGACAGTGACAGCTGGGCTTGGGTCTCTGCTTCATCCCTCACCAGGCGGAGGACCTCAGCTTTCTGTAAGATAACAGCCGTGCTCTGAGGTTCAGACAATTAAATGAGGCACTGTATACAAAGCAGTTAGCAGATGGCAGGCACTAACATACAAAAAGCTGGTCTGTTAGGTTTGGAACTGAATCATAATGAATGTAGACCCACACTTTCCAGCTGGTATTGCAGAGGGTCAAGTGAAAACACTCTTTAGAACACTGGCAGAAACTGGCTTCAAAAAAATGAAATTTCAGTCTTTTTCGCGACCTTTCTGGCAGCAAGTTGTGAGGCCAGTGCAGGAGGGAGGGCAGATGGGGATGTGCTGATCGCTACAGAGAACCAGCCTGTTCAACTGGTTTGTCCCAAGGTGCTTCCTCGCCAGAGGCTCATAAAATGCACACTCCCTATATGTACATACATGTGCACTTATACACAGGTATGCATGTATACATAAGGGACTCTTAACTGCACCATATACTGTAAATCAGCATCACAGTAAACTAGAGTGAGGACTCTTGAGATCAGCCCCTGCATTTACTCATACAAGTAGCCGGATGTTAGATGACCAGCGAAAACCACCCCCAGGCACAAAGTGCTGAAAGCAGGCGTGGGGTGAACAAGCCTCCTTCAATGAGAAAAACAGTGCCTACCAGTGGCAGGTTATTTAAGAAACTCAGAAATGGAGGCTGCAAACCTTTCTCTAAAAATTCAGCCACAAGCTCCACTCACTGTTTCCAGAATCAGGAAGAAAAGTCTCATATTAATAAACATTAATTGTATTTTGCTGCACCAAATTCTTAACTTTCTGACTGATTTTATTTCTTTTAGCTAATCATGTAATTCATTCTCAAATTTGATCAAATGAATGATCACTACATGTTTATAGGAATTTATAGGACGTCGATAGCTCAAAAGGAAAGTTAATTTAGAGAAGGAAGAAAACTTTAAAAATTCCTGATGTACAAACTCAGATGGATTTGTCATAAAAAGAAGAAATGTTATATGAAATATTAAGGTAAAGCAAGCAGGGACTTCCCCGGTGGTCCAGTGGTTAGGACTCCACACTTCCACTGCAGCGGGGAACAGGTTCGATCCCTGGTCAGGGAACTAAGATCCCGCATGCCATTCGGTGGAGACCAACAAAAAAAAAAGAGAGAAAGATAAAGCAAGCAGCTCTTATGTCACCCAGATTGTAGACTAAAACTAAAGAAAAAGGAGTATCAGGGAGGTCCGAGGTTTAGCCAATTACAATTTTAGAAAACAGAAAACACAGCGGAGGAAATCATTAAAGAAATAATGAAAGACCAGTTCTCTGAGATCAATAAAAACCACCAGCTTTGAGGCTGAAGCACTTTCCCTCTTAATTTTTAAATGAAAAAAGGAATTCAAGCCCAAGAGTCCGGCTTCCTGTACCAATTCCTGCCTCTGCCGTGCAGTGAGAGGCCCCCCAGGGAAGGAAGCACCACTGTCCAGGGCAGGAGGGTTAAAGCCATCACCGCGAGTAATGCCAGGCCAATAAAACAAGGAGTCCTGGTGGAAGTTAAAGTATTTATTGATGTGTTTAAACTCTGTACATTCTCCACAGAGCAGATTAAGGAGCCTGTAGGTGAAGTTTATCTGTGCATAGTGGGAAGAGACACGGATGGGGTAAAGGGGAGGAAGATGAAAAAAAAAACAGTCACAGGGAAATAGAAAAAAAACACACCACAGGTTACCAGAACCTTTAGAATTAAGAAAAAAAATAAAAAAGGAAAAGAAGCAGCTGTGAGAGTCAACATCCACTATACAAGCATCACAAAGACTCATGTGAAGGAAACAAAATCTTCAAAGCTTTCCATGGGGTCTACAGATCATTCTGTGTACAGCCTGGAGCATCCACCTTCCAGAGAAAAGCAAACCTCCCGCATCCTCCCCAGGATGCCGGCCACCTCCTCCTGCTGTCTTCTCTCAGCGAACGGTGGGGACGGTGGAGACCAGTGCCTTCGGAGGGGGTGGGAAATGCCCAAAGAGGAAAACAGCACAGCTGGACATTACTCGGGAGAGAAGTGAGCGGTCAAAAGCCACGGTGACTCAACGGCGGACAGTGGAAGAACGTCATGTACAAACAACAGGCTAATTTCTGTGGAAGAACTGGATTCAGAAGGAGCACAGTAGTGGCCCTAAGCTGAACACACAAGGCTCGCTGAAAGAAGCTGGAACTCAAGTGCTTGCTTTGAGCGCCTCCTTGGTGACAGGACTTGTGTGGAGACACCCAGGTACCCAGTGGTGGGCGCACCAGACTTCCAAGAAACTGGTCCTTCAAAGGAATTTTGAGAGGGGGATCATCATGTATTTTAAGGATCAATTACGGCTCCTTATTTCAGTTAGTTTCTCAGCAACTTTCTGAAAGCTCAGTTAAAGCTTTACATGAGGAATACTGCCTCTTCTTTTTTTAAAATAAAAACCAGGACAGTGAGCCATAAAGAGCTGATTTACACAATGCGGCCGGAACAAACGGCCTGCATGTAGCATGTACAGTCTATCATTGAAAATCAACATTTTCCATTTCTACAGAGAGCATGTGTGAGACAATACGATAGAAGTGGGACTCCTGATTAATTTTAAAAAGAAAACTACACCAGTCAAATATCTGTAATAGATAATTTTTTCACTTCATTTCAGGTTTATATATCATATATTGTTATATTAACATTCTTTCACCCATTTAAAAAGAATGGAAATTGTGATTCTACAGTAGTACTTTATAGTCTTAATGGTCCAGGAGGTCCGAGTGTAAGATGAAATCCTCTGGAAGTAGCTGTCGGTCAGTCGTAGATCCAAACCTCTGGACATCTGTGGCCCGCCTCACCCCCCACTCCAGCCGGTGTCGTGCTTCACCTGCTTAAATCTGCATCTGCTCCAGGTATTTGTAGGTTGGGTTTTCGTAACCATGATTCTGCATCTTGTTCAGGTGACGCTCTCCTGAGGTGAGCATTGGGTCAGCCTCCACAATCCCATGGCTAATGGTGCTGTACTGCTTGTTTCTCAGCATCATTTATCGCGTGGCCCAAGAGAACTTCCCAGGGCATTAGCAGACCTGAGCTGTACGATCCCCGGGGACCAAACAAGAACAGGCGGTGAGGACCCAGGAGGAGGAAAGAGAAAAGAAGACGGTCAGAGAGGCTAGGCTGCTGAAAGCTGGAGTCCACACTGGAGAAAACAGTGAGCTGAATCTCCCAGCACCACAGTGCCAAGTCTCAGCTCTGCCGCTTCTCTGCGGAGCAGCCTCGGCGAGGGCCAAGGAGCAGGACCAGATGACCCTCCAGATGACCCTGGAGGTCCCCTCCAGCCCTGGAACCCTACAACTAGGCCAGCGTGCAGCAGGAGGTGAAGCCGGATAACTAAGACACACACATGTGCATTCATTTCCCCCAGCAGATTCTATTCTTTATTGTATTCATTTTCTAGAATCAAGACACTGTGGACATTCCCACCACTCACCAAAAACAAGCGGTAAGTAAGCAGTTCTAATCACAAATGAGCAGAAGATGGAAGAGAAACAGCCTGGTCTGGCTCTTTCCGAATTTCCTGTTGCTTTTCTCCCCATTGAAAAAGAAGAGTGTTATTCCTATTTCATATCTTTAAGAATCAGTTCACTCACATTGCCATTGTTGCCTGAACTGTCATATACCTGGCTTTCTCCTTATAAAACACGTCAAAAAAAAAGCAAACAAACTAATAACAAAGAAAGAAAGAAACAGTTATTAGCAGTCCTTCATTCTCAAACATCCATAACGCACCTGAAAAAAAAGGAAACACTAAGGAAACAATCTGAGAAAACAGTTTTCACCCTGTGCAGCATAAAATGCTCCTATGCTTTCCTCGCATTCACGGTCGAAGCCCAAATTAACGTTAAGAGTTGGCAACAGCTCTTGTGACGGGATCAACTTGACTCAGCCAAGGCTGACTTCCGAGACATGACCCAATAATCCAGGGAGTCGTCTGACGTGCAGCCCCTGACAAGACGCTCGAATTCCGCAAGCCCCCCAATGGCTCACCTCCACGATCCCATGGCTGATGGTGCCGTACTGCCTCTTCCTCAGCATCACCAGGCTGATGACAATGACCGTGGCGATGGCCACCGCAATGACCAGCAGACCAATGAGGGCGCTGCTGCTCAGACTGAAGTCCTCCCGCAGGGGCCCCACAGATTCCTAACGTTAACGAAGCAGACGTGCGACAAGGTGTGAGAGACGACAAGCAGCGGGGGAGGCCGTAAGCCTCCGGTCGCGCCTCCAAAAACCCAAGGGGGCGCCCGGACCCTGCCGTCCAGGTCACCGTCCAGGTGGGGGGAGTCCCCACCTTTTGCAATCTCCATGGAGATTCGAACTTGAGCTTTCTTATCCGAAAGCACAGGGGAAATGGGGGACGAGGGACCTCTGATAGCTTAAGATAGCGCAAGGTGCCCCCAGGAGGGAGAGAAAATGGCTGAGGCTGGTGTAGGACCTGCCATCAGGTTTTGGAGCGGGACACATACCGGCCCCTCCTCGAGGCCTCCAACTCTCTCGGCGTTGAGAATCATTTCCTTCACGTCCAGGGTCTCGTCAATGACCTGAAACAGGGGCGGGGAGGGGAGGGAGAATGTCACCAACTGGGAGGGAGGGCAAATTTAGTGTGTTAAGTGTAACTGCTTCTCGTCCCCTCCATTTACCATTTGGTGGAGGGAAGCAGACGCCTGATGGACACCCACTAACCCATCAGCTCTGTGCCATTCACCTAAGTCCGCTCACCAAACCCCGGAACAAAGGAGCAGGTGTGGGTGCAAAACTACTGTACAGCAGTTGGTCTTTTAAGGGTTGTCACCTGCGTTTTCCTTTAGGTAACCCTTGTGGAGATATTTCAGCACAGATTACCAAGCAGCCACGTTTAAATATCCAATTCAGTTAAAGATAATCCAGAAATGTAAGTGATAGAATGCTAGATGAATAATTAATAGGTGGTCTAAACCTCAGGCAGTGTAAGAACCAAATTCAACTCTATTCCATTTTCAAGTTATTAAATCTCTACTCATTTGAAATGGCCTCTCATATTTTATTCATACCTTTAGTTGCAAATATATTTTCCACTGTATGGCAAGAGATGAGCTACTGCTGAAAAATAATTCTTTATTCACACCCAGACTCTAAACAATACAGCGCATCTGTGGGAGCAGTCAGAGCCTGCCCATCTGCTAGCCTATGGAAACGGACACGTGGAGGTCCATCTGGGAAGCATCTAAAACAATGCGACTCACTCTAATTATTCTCAAAGTTAACACGGGCACAGAGCAGGGAGAAACGGCTCACCATATTTTCATCCACTTTCTTCTTACTGTTAATCACTTTCTCCTCGGCCCCGATCAGTCCTCCTTCCTGCTCTCCCAGTGCAGATCCTGTGTGGAGAGAGCACACCTGAGTTTCCTGGGATAGGCTGACCTCACGCCAACCTCACAGAAGCAGCAAACTCCCTCCTGAGGGAGGCCAGGGAGCCCTCACCAAATGCCCCCTCCCCTTTCTCGATATGCTACTTGTTCCTGTTCGGGAGGATGCACTGTGCTCCCCAGGGGTGAGTGACACAGGACCAATGGGGTGTCGTGGAGGAGGAGAGAGTGCTGTGCTCACTTTGCAAGCCTTCAGGAGAGAATACTTTTTGCACTATAAACAGAAGCTGGATCCAAAGGCATTCCAGCATCAAAAAACCTGTGGCCCACCCTGTGATATTACCAAGCACCCACTACCCCTCAACTCACTCCTTTGACACTTCCTCTGAGTGGAACAACTGCCACACCAGCAGCGAACCTGCATGCCTGCCTCAAGCACCATCTTTTACGCCACCGGCAGTTCTTTCTGCCTGAAATACCCTCCCTGACCTTATATCCTTCCTATTTGTTCTTCAAGCTGCAGCTCTTTTTGGGAGACATTCCCAGGTTATAGTACTTAGAGTCACTGTTTGTAATTATTGATTTTCTTCTGTGTCTCTCACTAGGATGTCACCCTCCCGGGGCTTATCAGACAGTCACATCCTCAGTGGTTATGATAGAATGAACAGGAAGGAAGCATTCCCTACGTGGGGGGAGTTCTAACACGGGGGTGGATGGTACCTTTCCATAAACAGGGCAAGAATGGCAACAGTCTCTTGTCAAGGTCAGACACTGCCTGGGCCGGCATCACCGGTGCGCAGCACTCCTGATGACAGCGCTCAGAGGCGCAGCACAAACCCAGGGAGAGGAAAAGTGAGGCGCAATCTTCTCTCTTTTTAGCCCCAAAGCATGTGACTTCTAGCTCTCCTACCAGTGTCTCGTTAATAATATTATATACAGTGCTACCTAGACGCCTGTGATTTGAACCTTTTATAGAGATCAACCTGGTGGCATACTCGGCATATGAATTTGAGCTCCAGTTCACGTAGTCATGTGATCTTGGGCAAAACATGTCATCTCTCTGAGATTAATATGTAAAATTATGGGGTAGACCTAAAGCCTCCTCCCAGAAGTAGTGGACTCTGAATCCATGACCCCGTCAGTCTTGCATTTAGCGCTGGTCACCCCCAGGCCAGCTAACACTTAACTCATTATTAGAATGCAAGAAACGAGGCAGCCTTTTTTCCAGAGCTTTCATTTTAAAGAAGAGTTTCACAACCTGATTCTAGGGTGAGTTAAACCAGGGCCGGCTTTTGTAGTCTCAAAATGTCAATGAAACAGCAGCACTGCATTTCAGCTATTTGAGGAAGAGGACTCTCTCAGCAGGATGCTCGTGACCAAGCCTAATAAATTCTAACTCTGCACTCTTTTCTTTC